CTATTAGAAAAGATAATGTTGAAAAAAATCTAAGCATTTTTACTGTCCTAAAAGGTGATGACAGACACAAAAAAAATTTAAAAAACACACATCATTATAAAAACAATACGAATAAATTCAWCGCTCCGCTCAGAATCTATTAGGTATTGTATAGACCGTTATAGCATCCACATAACGTATAAAAAATATATTATATATTTAAAGGGCCGTTAGTATATTGAGGGCCTCTACAATTATGATTTTTCCATATAAGTGCCCGTATTACAATAGTTGAACTCCGGTTAAACCACGGAATTCGGCCGTTAAAATCAGTGGTTCAAGTATAAACGAGGTTAAAACTATAATTGTAAAACGGGTCCTAAACTCCTAAGTAGTGTAGGAAAACGTTATTTTCCCCAAGTTGATATATAAATACTTCATGAAATGAGCGATTTCACTAAGCGACTAAGCGGATGCATTAATAATATTATATAAATTTTATGACGTCTGTTATTCCGCGCGAATTTTAAATAAAACAGTGTTGCCAATATAATTTGACAGCGACTGAGATAGTAGGGTTATCACATCATTCAAATGTYACATCGGATATTAATTAACACTGTCGCTGCAGCGGTGTCCGTGTCAGACGCGGCCAGTTTCCCGCCAAATTGTTGCTTACCCACAAAGCAATTTAGATATGCTGGTATTCCACTTTCAGTGTCCAATCTACCATAGCCAATCGCCGTGCTTGTTTTATCCGTTATCTGGCTTTGATTATCCGAGTTCCGAACTTCTGAAACGATAGTCATCGAGTATTWGCTCGTTTGCCGCCGATTTTGTTTCGCTTCATTCACAAGTCGCCACAAACAACGTTATAATAATTAATAGTCTTCAATCTATCGCAAATCGAACCGTCAATATTAGTGTTAGAAATTTTACAAGTTACTACCGATATACGCTATCATGGCTAAAGCTGGCTTCAGGGACTACGAAGCCGACAAGGGTAAAAAAATATCTTCTCGWTTTTACTGCGTGCAGAGTACTTAATATTCCCTGTATTATTTCCAGCGAAACTTACTGAATTCCTGCAAAACTACCAGACATTGGATACCGATAACCAAAAGTATGCCAAGTATGCCGTACAGTTAGCCAAACTTGCACATCGCGAACAGGTAACTAAACTGAGTAGCGTCGCAACTTTATGCATAATATTCTGAATCCTCTTGTTTCTCCTACAGGTGTCTCTGTTTATTGAACTCGACGATTTAGACCATTTCGACAACGAGTTGGCCGATGCTGTGTCTGCAAATTGTCGTCGATACACTACCATGGTTGCTGATATTGTGCAAGATCTATTGCCAAATTATAAAGATCATGAAGTAAGTATATTAGTGACCACTCAACTAAGAATTATTTCCTAAAGAATTTGTAACTCATCTATTTCTTCTTATTCAAGCCTGAAAACAATGATGCTTTGGATGTCTATATTGAACACAGAATATTGGCCCAGCAAAGACAAAGAATGAGACAAGCTGATGAGAATATCGCTCCTACAAATAGATATCCTCCAGATTTAATGCGAAGATTGTAAGAAAATGATGTCATTAATATTAAAATTTAAAAGTATTACTATTATATTCTTGTTATGTTATGCTTTAGTGAAATATACTTTAAAGATCTAAGCACTAGGAAAGAATTACCTATACGTGATGTGAAAGCTAATAGCATTGGTAGATTAATATCTGTACGTGGAATTGTTATGAGGAGTACAGAAGTAAAACCTATGGTCGTAGTTGCTACTTATTCTTGTGATCTGTGTGGTGGGGAAACATATCAACCAGTATGTATTTACYATTTTATTTTATTATAATTTGTCTACAAAAAAAAATTCATTCAATCATGTTTAATAGGTAAATTCACTAACTTTCAAACCTTTAGAATTCTGTCCAAGTTCAGAATGTTCAACAAACAAACCAGGAAGTCGCTTGTACTTGCAAACTAGAGGATCTAAATTCATTAAATTTCAAGAGCTCAAAATTCAAGAACTGGTAAAATAATGTTTATTAAAAGTTGATGTAATATTATAAATTAAGTTTATAAGTTAAATATATTTTATGGATTTATTTAGAGTGATCAAGTTCCAGTAGGTAATATTCCACGTTCAATAACAGTGTTATGTAGAGGTGAAGCTACACGGCAAGCTGTACCAGGGGACCACATATCAGTAACTGGTATATTTTTACCTTTGGTTCGTTCTGGATTCCGACAAATTCAGCAAGGTTTATTATCTGATACTTATCTTGAAGCCCACGTGAGTAGTCTAAATTTTAAATCATAACAATTTAAATTATATAATATATAATCTGAATCTTGTAAAGTGTAATATCATTTTAATCTCTTAAAAGCAATATTTTGTAATAAATTGCTGTGATATTAAAAATCCAAAAAATCCAAAAAGGCAATTTACAAATTAATATCATTTAACATAATTTCTTAGTTTATGTTATTATTTATTATAAACTATTTTTCAGCTAAAATCAACTTACACATTGATTTGTTTAAAATGTTTACTTAATAGTTAACTAGTATAAAATTGCTTAGCTTTGTTTATCTATATAAAGTTATACATTTTATTAGCTTCCTGTTATTCATTTTTTTTTTCTATCATTACTATTAGAGTTAATCCAGAATAATTCTTGTTATATTGAACAATCATTAGTAAAAAGAAAACTGTCAAAAATATAATAAAATTAAATGTTTATAATTATAAAGGTACTTTATCTTTTACTACTTCGATTGTGCCATTATATTTTTAAAATTTTAAACACCTAATATTATAAATATAAATATATTTGTGTTAACAATAAAATTTAATATCAATATTAAATGTTRTTATTTATGTAACTGCTATTAACTATTAATTTATTYAATTGTTATTTATGGATTTTAGAATATTGAATGTTTAAATAAACTAAATGAAGAAAAACTTGGAGAAGGCGAACTATCTGAAGAAGAAGTTTTGGAATTGGCTGGTGATGATTTTTATACGAAATTAGCTGCAAGTTTGGCACCAGAAATATATGGCCATGAAGATATCAAAAAAGCCTTGTTATTACTTTTAGTTGGCGGTGTAGACAGAACACCTGATGGAATGAAAATTAGAGGTAACAATTAATTGTGTTCATAATATTTTGTCAATTGTCATACATCATTAAATTGGTTATTTTTACTTAYATTGCTTACATGTCCTTGAGTTTAAAAAACTTCAAACAGAAATTAAAAAAAACTTTTAATAGTTGAGTTTTGAGCATAATTAAGTTTTAAGTATGATGGCAGAATTATATTAATTTTTAGTATGTTGTATACAAATTATCTTACTATTGTTTTCATATTTTAAAATATATTATTGTAAAATCTTCAAAAGTTTAAATAATATTCTAGTTTGGTTTTAAAAAAAATATTATTATTTGCAGAGTTYGTGGAAACCTAGATTCTCATATAGTATGCTACCTACAAAAAAATATTATATATCTGCTCTTATATGTCATATTGTACTCGAGTTCTAAAGATAAACAGCATGTTATAACAGCCATACAATACTACATTAAGAAATAGCTATTATTTACTTATATCAATCCAAAATAACTTTCAGATATAAAATTACTTTGGTCAGTGTTGTGTTCTTCCTTTAAACACTTTTGTTAGCAAACTTGTATTTGGTTAAAATATAAAAATCTATCATATGTAAAATATTTTTAATCTAATAAATAAAAATAATCATAAAGTGGGTACCTATAATAAGACTTAACTATAGATTTAAAAAAACATATCTGCATAGGTATTATAATATTTGTTGCTAATTAATTTTGATTCTTATTAGGAAGCATCAATATTTGTTTAATGGGAGACCCTGGTGTAGCAAAATCTCAGTTGCTCTCCTATATTGAACGTCTTGCTCGTCGTAGTCAGTATACTACTGGTCGAGGTTCTTCGGGTGTAGGTCTTACTGCTGCTGTGATGAAGGATCCTTTAACCAACGAAATGGTCTTAGAAGGTGGCGCTCTTGTATTAGCTGATCAAGGTGTATGTTGCATTGATGAATTTGATAAAATGGCCGAGTCTGATCGAACTGCTATTCATGAAGTAATGGAACAACAAACCATCTCAATTGCCAAAGTATATTTTTTAAATATTATTTWAAAAAATCAATTTGCTTATTAAAATCATTAATTTAATTGTATATAGGCTGGAATAATGACACGCTTGAATGCTCGTGTTAGTATATTGGCTGCAGCCAATCCTGCTTATGGAAGATATGATCCTAAACGTTCAATTGAAGCCAATATCCAACTTCCAGCAGCTTTGCTTTCACGTTTTGATTTATTGTGGTTAATTCAAGACAAACCCAATCGTGAAAATGATCTTAAGTAATAATACTTGTACCCTTGGAATTAAAATAAATAATAATAATTTAAAATTATTAAATAACATTAATAAACTGTCCTTTATGTAGATTGGCTCATCATATAACATATGTTCATACGCATAGTTGCCAACCTGAAACTAAAGTACAAGCATTAGATATGAGCTTAATGCGTCGTTATATTGATTTGTGTAAGAAGAAGACTCCTACTGTTCCTGTAGAGCTTACAGAATTTCTTGTCAATTCATATGTCGAATTGCGTAGAGACTCACGTAACAAAAAAGATACAACATTTACTTCAGCAAGAAATCTTTTGGCTATACTTAGATTATCTACAGCTTTAGCTAAGCTTAGATTATCAGATTTGGTGGAACGCGAAGATGTAGTTGAAGCTATGAGACTTTTAGAAATGTCTAAAATGTCTTTAACTCATGCTGATGAAAAATCTGCAAGGTATAATGCACAAATAATTTAACCCTAATATTTTGATAAATTAAAAATTTTTTTTAGAACTCCAAGTGTTGTGGACCTTATATTCAACGTAATAAGAGAATTAGCTGGAGGACGAACTGTTGTCAAAATGTCTGACATTAGAGAATATTGTACAAGYAAAGGATTCAACACATTACAAGTCGATAATTGCATTGAAGAATATGAAATGCTGAATGTGTGGCAGGTGAATCAAGCTAAGACTACAATTACTTTTATTTAAGTATTTTTCTTATATTTAATTTTTTTTGTCTCATTGTTTCTAAAGTATTATTTATTGTATTTCAAAATTTTTTTACGACCTTTTATATTCACCCAAATGTATTGTAAAGACGTGTTTTAGCTGTAATACAATTAAAAGATTAAACTAACTTTTTTAAATCAATCAATATGAAAGTTATGTTATGATTTGTATTCAAAGTTTGTGTTTTAGTAACTAAGTACAACTTTTTTTTGTTTATGTATAACTTAATTCTTATTTTGCATCTTAGAAAAAATTATGTAACTGATAAATAGAATGCAAAATTAGGTTTCAATATAAATTGTTTTTTACCGTTAACAAACAGGACTTAACTGTAGACTAATTTTTATTAAGAATTTTTGCATACTTTAATTAAATTATTTAAATAATAAAGTACTTTATCAGATTACTATTATTTAAAATTAGTTGATTCTAATTGATCAGTGTTCCTTGTAATACACGCATGTATATACAAACATACATATACAAGTTATATGTACCTACTGTATACCTTATGTAGGAATTTATAAGCACTCTTCAATAAGTGTAGTTTTAATGTTATTCACAGTATTTATTTTATTATTATTAACCTTGTACTCTTACTATTTAAAAATGTAGGCATTATAATTTAACAGAGTTTTGAAAATTTCAATAAGTATGGTAGATCAATGACATAAGAAATATTWACAATATAATAAACAAGTACTTAAATTGTAATCTTTTCAAATATTACACACCAGTTACCCTGATCATAATAATAATCAATCACTTTACAGTTATACATTTGTTCACATAATAATTTCAATTCAAATTCTTCAAATACATGATAATATCTTAGATGTGTTTTAGATTCATTTTGTTGTTCTTTCTTTTGATTCAACTTCCACGGAACTAGCAAGTCATTATGTACAAAACTGGAACGGTTTTTATGTATTGGTAGATTAACATCAATTGATTCTACATGAAATTCTTTATTTAGTTCAGGTGTTGACTCCGCCTTAGGTTTATTAACTTTGCCCTGTTTTAAATAAGTAGAAAGGTTTTGATTTCTGCACTGTTCTTTAGCCCACACATATACAAGTGCTTGGCCTCCGACAACTAGTACTCTGTTTATTTCCTTTAAAGCTTTTAAACGTCGATCATTTGTGGCCAAATGATGAAGAACTGCTATACTAATACACAAATCTATGCAATTCGAACGTATTGGTAATTGAAGGCAATCGCAGTTGAATACTTGATAGTTATGATTTTTACATATTTGAGCTAATTGAGTACTTCGGTCACAACCTAACTAATTGATTACATATAAGGTAAATAATAGAATAATTTAAAAATATTATATATACTAGGTATATACCTGAAAAATATCAGAAGTATTAGTAAAATATTTAGCATTTCCACAACCAACATCTAAAACAATTGCACCCGGTTTAGATTTGCTTAAAAACTTAACAACATTTGGCCAAGGTTTCTGTCGTGTTTCACTAAAATGTGATGCTATATTTTCATAAACCTATAAAAAAAAAAAATCAAGTATTAAATCACAAGTATTATAGCTATTGTTAAAAGTATAAATAACATMATAGGTAAATCTCTTTTTTAACCATTTTAATAATTTAGTAATTGCAGCAATAAATCTCTATTAATACTATAAATAACACTTGAGAGGATGTCGGCACACTATTTGCTTTCTCTCTTTGGCCCACGCTCATCATAGACAAAACACATTTATGTAGAATCATTATTTCTATGTCCCTTAAACATAATTAAATGGTCCATTATTGGWCCTTTAAATTATRTCTTATCCGTTAAATTAATACTTCTTTCATCCAACCCAACATTAGTATTGTAAATTCTAATTCATGTTTAAACTGAGATATCTTTAAAAAATAACTTTACTCTACAAAATCACTAATATTAAATATATAATAAATGTGTTAATTATATTATGTACACACGTTATGAACATGTTGTAATTCAAGTTCTGAAGCATTATTTTCGTTCAAAGACATAATTKCATTAGTAATCAACAAGCGTAGTACTATAAATCACTAAGGTGAAGAAAGTTATGACTCTGTTGTGATATAATGTAGATGACGTTTGAAGAATTTATGAACACTAGATTAATCAAATTCAAAATAAACCTGGAAATAGAAATRATTTTTGAATTAAAATAATGAACATTTTAAAAGAAACTGTTGCTCAAATGCAGCTGATAACTGATTAGTTCATGTGAAATATTATGATTCCGTTCCGTTCCACCTATGATAACAAAAACAGTGTTGCAAGTTTAGTGAAAAAATTATATTCAAAATACCCATCATTATTATTATTTATAATGTACTTTTTTTTTGTAAGAAAAGAACAGTCCGCGGTAAATCACTCRGACACTCAGTAGTCAGTAGTTAGTAGTTCAGTTTTCAGTAGTTCTGAGTTCAGTACTCACTACTCACCTACTGTGGTCATTGGACGCACTATTACATTTCAACTATTATATTATATATGTTACCGGCAATATGTGTAATTCCGTCATTACATAAAATACCGGTTGATTTTAGGCAAATTATTAAAAAAAATGATTTTAGGATAAAATACCTGGGCAATATATATATTTCCTACATTCCTAGACATTTTATAGAGTACCTAAAYAACTTTTGGCAAAGTATTAAAATAGTTGAGATTAATTTCATAACAGTACCTATACTATATTAACATTATCACATTTTAAATTATGATAATATTGTGTACTATTTTGTTACAACATGTTTAGCTAGAATGACAACGAGAGTTACACAATACTTCGTTATTAACTAGTGTGACCATAATTATTTTATCCTAATGGGGGGCACTTTAAAAAAAGAGGTACGTAAAAAATGTAAATACATAATAATAGCATAAATACATTACATTTCATTTGATTTAAAATTATTTTTTATTGATAAACAAATCAGACAAACATTAGATACTACATATTTTAAAATGTTAAAGTTTTTACTTAAACAAATTTTAATTTACAATCACAATTACAGTTTTAATACTTATCCTTAGATACAATTTTTTTATTATTATCAATTCATGATTGCAAGTCTGATACAACGTCCTTTAGAGTGTAGAGTGTGGAATCATGAATTCATGATGCACCACTTCAATTTTCATAAAGGCGGGACCAAAGTGGGACATCTAGATATGCGGGACGCAACTCTGAAAAACGGGACAATCCCCCCTAATGGGGGACGTCTGGTCACACTATTTTTAACACACAAACATTTTTCACTTTGGCACCTTGTTTTACATATACATTTTGTAAACCCCTGGCCGCTGCCTGTTGGCTGTTGACTAGCAACAGATCGCAATGCAATTTCTTCAGCTGGTACCTCATCTGAATGCAATAGATTTTTTTGACAAACAGTGAACTGTGACCTAGCATATGATTGTCTTAAAGTTCCATTCTTGGTACCCAGTCGATAGAAACCATCATCTGTAATCTTTTAAAAAAATTCACAGTTAATAATAATAAAAATTTAGTTTAAAATATTTTTAATAATATGTACCTCGGTTACAACTGCTAGTATGTTTCGAGCATCTAAACGGCCTTTATCGACATCCGGTACTGGAATCCGAACTGTTGAACCAATCTCAACTGCAAGAAGTTTTTTGTCTGATAGTTTTTTCATTTTATCAGCCTGAATTTCTAAATTTTTCGTTGCATTTTTTCGTAAGTTAAGAGCATTTTCGTTATTTGTTTTAATTTTTGTAATTGTTGTATTTAAATCCTCTAATTCAATAATATTTGTAGTTTTAGCATTTGTAGTTGTTTCACTTTCTGTAATTGCTGTTAAATCTCCTTTTGTTTTAATATTTTCTACGACTTCTTCAGGTAAATTTGACGTATTTAATCCGATTTTAATTTTACACCCAAATAATGCTTCATAGGGAGTAGTTTTGATACCTGAATGATAAGCACTATTCTTCATAAACTGAATGAAACCTTGACTCCATTATGAAGTATTTTGTTCTTGCATCCATGTAGTTAGCATATTGTCTATGTCTTGGTTGGCACGTTCCACACTAACCTGGCTCTGGCTATGTCTGGGCTTGCCATGTACTATTTTAAGTTCAGGCCAAAGATCTTTGAGGCTTGAAACAATTTAATCAGCAAATTCTCTACCATTATCTGATCCAATTAGTGTACAAATATCAATGATATTATAAGCAACTAATTCAGCTCGTTTGAATTCTAAAGGTTTCAATATGACAAATTTTGTCAGGTGGTCCTGATAGACCATTATAAATCGATATTTACCATCAGGGTGCGATTGGAAATCAATAAGATCCACTTGGCATCGTGAATTAAATTCGTTAAAAACCATTGGCTTAACAACTATACCTTTTTTAATCCCTTTTGCTTTTGTTGGCAAGGTTCACATAAGCTYAAAAATAATTCTATTACACTTCGAGCTATATTTTTATACTTATTGGAAAGTTCTTTAATCATACGATCTCGTCCACCGTGGCCAATCGAAGAGTGACTATTTTTTAATACATTATACAACTCGCTTTCACGAATATAATACAGGATATTTTCATTTTCATTGACAGGAAAAATTAGTTTCTTATTGTCTTGTACCATCAATACATCATATCTAAATTAGAATTAATGTTGTATTTTATTTAAGAACAATAATAATAGTTAATTATTGATTATTATCAAAATATTAACGAAATCCCGAAAAATGTCGTAATATTTTAAACATATCACTCCAATAATTATAGTATAAAATTAATTAACACTTGGGTATTTACTTACCTTTTTGCAACCAAAAATCAAGAGGATTTTTTTTCGTTTTCAAACATCTCAGCATCAAAACTTCCTTTACCAACTCGTCGTATATCGTTTATCAGATAATAAAGTGTTATTTTTACTTATATTTGCCTTTAGTACATTTAATTCTGCATAAAACTGTTCAATTATGAAATATCGTAATTTGTATTATGATATAATATTATTAAATAATGATATTAATTTAATAATTAACTGTAGTTATACACTGAACACTTTACGGGTATACGTTGTTAACCCGTACTGAAAATAATTTGAAATTTTGAACACAAGATCAAATACCGAATATTGAATAACCGACAAATGAAACGTATTACAGGCTAATATAATGAGAACGATTAATTCGTTAACTATCGGTTATCTTCGTCAATATCTGTGGGTATTTCTAATCTAACCGAGAAAGTATTATTATTACCTGATTATGATTGGGCATTATATATAATAACTAGGAAATATGTGTATTATACAATTCGCCTGGTAATTTCAGTCATTTTATTAAATTTTATAAAATACCTAGGCATTACATGTAATGACGGAATTACACATATTGCCGGTTTACTGTAATAGTAATGAAACAAACTAAAAAATAGACAAGGTTGAGTGTTATGATTAAATTAGCTAGTATAATCTGGTTTACTAGAAGAATATTATGTTGAGGACTGGCAGGTTTGGTTCCAGGCTTTCAAATATGTCTTCAGATAGTTGGTTGCGAGGAAAAAACGCAGTTTGGTTCCCATGTTCGATTTTTCCAAAATGAGTGTTTTTAAGCTAAGTTCAGAATATTTCTATAAACATATGATAATCAGACATACAGACATACATTATAGAAACTAGATAGTCGATTTGGCATAGAATATAACAATAACGGTGGCCAATTMTTTATGCAAGGTTCACAGWAGCACTTAAATTTAAAACGATTGATGCAAAATCTTTGCCTTATTTATTAAATGAGTGCTGTAAATATTATTCGATAAGTACAGCACAACTAGATGGCAACAAATAAAGAAAATACATTAGATGTATATAAATATTGTTAAGCTAAATAAAAAATTAAAAACGTCACAAAATAAAACGTTTCGACATAGATAATTCAGACTTATTTTAAGCATCAGGTGACATGTAACGTGATGTTTTATTTTTGTAGACATATACATTAGCTGAGGTTTACACAAAAATAATATTATTATAATATTAATATTGCACTAACCTGTTGRTTCTATAATCTATTTAATATTTTATAAGCATGAAATTAATATGACATGCTAAAAATATTGATAAGATATTGACATATATTGTATAAATTATCATCAAACCAATAAAGACTAATGCCAGTATTTCTAAATGCAGAATGATATG